TGTGTGTGTGCCTGTGAGTGTATGAGAGTGTGTGTGTGTGTGAGTGTATGTGTGTGTGTGAGTGTATGAGAGTGTGTGTGTGTGTGAGTATGAGTGCGTGTGTGTGAATGTGTGTGTGTGTGTGTATGTGTGTGTTTGTGTGTGTGTGTGTGAGTGTGTGTGTGTGCCTGTGAGTGTATGAGAGAGTGTGTGTGTGTGTGAGTGTATGTGTGTGTGTGTGAGTGTATGAGAGTGTGTGTGTGTGAGTATGAGTGTGTGTTTGTGAATGTGTGTGTGTGTGTATGTGTGTGTTTGTGTGTGTGTGTGTGCCTGTGAGTGTACGAGAGTGTGTGTGTGTGTGTGTGAGTGTATGAGAGTGTGTGTGTGTGTGAGTATGAGTGTGTGTGTGTGAATGTGTGTGTGTGTGTGTGTGTGTTTGTGTGTGTGTGTGTTGACTCCATTTCCCAGCAAGCCTTAAAGGTTTTGTGCATGTGCAGAGTATGGCACCGTGACAGGCAGCAAATGCTCATTCCAGTTATCTGTCTACAGCTGAAGGACTCTGCTGCCTGTACAAGATTGGAGCTGCATGGTGGTTTGGCATGACAACAACAACCACAGGAACCATGAGGTGCCATATAAAGGAGTGTCACATGACAGAAGTTGGATGGCCAAGAGAGGAGCAGAGGAAGAGACTCCAGGCTGCTGTTTGTCAGCTCCAGGCAGCTAGGCTCAAAGAGGCCCTGGGAGCCGAGAAGGGCTGAGAAAGTGGTGGAGGCTTGTTTGTTCTATGTTGGATAGAGTTAGTGCTCACAAGAAGTCCAGGAAGCCATTTCAAATTTGGTACAGTCTGGAAGTGGAGTCAACTTAGTGAAGTTACTGATCTGGGAAGGATTTGGAACTATGCCGATGAGTAGCAGCTCAAGTGCAGTGGAATGCAGTCTTAGGAAATGAGACTGAACAATCGGGATGTAGGCCACTGTTGAGGCAATTTGAGTTGAAGTGGTAATTGAGGGAATTCAGAGGCTAAATCATTGAACATAGAAAATAGTACAGTACAGCACATGAACAGGCCCTTTGGTGCACCATGTCTGTGCTGATCATCATGTTACTCTAAACTGATCCCATCTCCCTGCACATAGTCCACATGTCTCTATTTCCTGCCTGTTCATGTCTAAATGCCTCTTAAAATTACTATCATATCTGCTTCTACACCTCCCGTGGCAAGTGGTTCCAGGCACCTACCACCCTCTGTGTAATAAAAACTTGCCTTACACATCTCCTTAAAACCTTTCCCCTCACACTTTAAAACAATGTCCCATAGTATTTGACATTTCCACCTGATAAAAAGATTCTGACTGCCCACGTGTGGTCAAGCCAACACATATATATGGTTATCTCTGAAGTTTTGCAGACACAGTTCGTTCAGGAAGCACAATCTTGAGAGGTTCTTCAATTCACTCTTTCAAAAGAACTCATAGGTTTTGCTCTGACCTCAACAAGAGGATTTTTTTTCACAAATAAGATGAGCAGCTTGGGAAACATTGCTCCAACTCAGTTTGTTCTTAGCCAACTTCTCTCCAACTGATCCACATAAAACATGTACCTTTCCAAGCTAGTCTCTGTTCAAAACATCCCCAACAGTGGTCTAAAGCAAGTAGTTGTAATTTGTCATGTAATTTACAGGAAGCTGTGTTAAAAAGAACCTTCAATGTCCAAAGTGAACTTTCAATAGCCTATTTTAAAGAAACTGCTCCAAGTATTTCCACAAAACTTGAAATAGGTATGTTTTCCACAGTCCTTCAAAAGGATTCAACAAGGTTCAAACAGGCAGCTCACCACCGCCCTCTCAAGGGTAACTAGGGGCAGGTATATAATGCTGGTCAGCCTGTGACTTCCATGTCTCATGAGTGAATATAAAAGGAAGACCTAAGTTCTCCAATCTGTGTTAAATATAAAGCACCATTGTAACACCTTTCCAAGTGGATTTGCATTGTCAGCAAACATTACACTCAATCCCATCATCTAAGTCATCGATATAGATTGTACATAGCTGATCCCTGTAAAACTTAACTAGTTCCACTCAGTAATTCCAAAACCACCATTTTTTGCTATGCCTATGTTTCTTTTCTTTCTATTAATGCTCATATGTTACCCTGATCTAATACTAATATATTCTAATATTATTCTCAATCCTACAAACATCATCAACAATTCTTTTCCCTGGCTTCCATTCTTCTCAATCAATTTGGTTTGTTTTTGAATTTAATTTCAATGGTAAAAGTTACCTTCTAGTAATGAGTGTTGTTTCCAAAGGGCAATATTGAGGATAATTGTCAGTGGCAGCGTTAAAGTTATATTCTAAAAACATGTCTAAAGGTGTCAGTAATACACTGCAGCTTTCTACGAATAACAACTATTTTTCAGTGATCAGAAAAAACAAAGCTGAAATCTTTTTCCATACATGGAAGCATGGGAGTGCAAATCAATCGAAGCTAGTCCTTTTATAAACTACTTACAATCAATTTAATTTAAGGATTTTATCACAGAAAGTAAAATCTGTGATCTTCAAGGTGAATGAAGCAAAATTAAGGCGTACTCCTTGCTTTAACTTCACACTTGCTGGCTTATCTCTGGTCAATGACCTCATCCCCTTTGCCCCCTCACTCCTCAAACAATCAGCTCACTGACTGACTGTCAATTAATCTCTTAGTTTCAATGCTAACTTACCTGAGAAAAAGCAGTAGAGCTCAACATAGGCTGCACAGAGGGATCGGTGAGCCTGCGACACTCCTGCAAGATGACTGCATATTGAATCAGACTTTTGCCACGTAGCTGATCTAACATGAGGATGCTGCAGAAACAATCACATCTTCATCTGTTAACAGTGTTCTGCTTTGTATTCCCACAGCAACATATCTCTTCTAGTAATTATTGGTATACAAAGAATATTTTTCCTTGCAGCTACAAGTGCCTGAGAAGTCTTACAAAACAGTTGTAACTGGCAGTAATTCTGCACTAGCAATTTGTATTTTAATGCACATTTCCTGGAACCCACTCATTTTAAGTATCCACTGTTAAGAAAAGATAACGTGCATCCTGACTTGTGTTATCTATGTCCATCAGCAATTAACAATAGCAGTAGCATTGCACACAAGAGCTTCCTGACCGTGATCTCTCCATCTCAGACAGTTGTTAAATATTTGCCAAACAAAAATTGTTGTGTCAACTTAGGTAAATCCGTGTTACCATGGTTCCTGAAACCTTCTTCATTTTAGAAGAAGAAGCTATGTTTTCTTTAGAAGATTATCACACTGAAAATGTGCTTAATTTCAAACAACATGTTCACAATTTTGTTTTCCCTAATAATTTCAGACTTTAATTCACCCATTCAATGCTGTTCTCAAGGAAAGTTCCCCGATTTGTCTTGAAAAGCACTATTTTTAATAACATTCACATACTATCCAAGGTGAAAGCATTAATTACAAGGCAACTTCCTGTTATGTTACTTTTGCTAATAATATGAATTATGTTGACAGTTACTGTAATAGAGTCCCCAATTATATTATTTTACTGCAATAACATGTTGACCATTAATTTGTAGTGTTTGTACTGTGATTGAAACACTGTGTTTTGGAATACCAGCAAATATAGGTCAAGGAAGTATTAAGGAATTACTGAGGGTTTTGTCTCCCATTCAGATCTGGGAATGAATGATCCTTGATCTTTAGTATGTTCTTGCATTTAACCTAGTTTAGTTCAAAATAAATTTAATTTACAAATCCTCAGTTAGGTTCTGCTGAAGTGGGTGCTTAGCTCTTTGCAGTCAAACTATTAAGGGGAGAAAAACTAAAGCCATGGATTAAACACAATTTATTGATCACAAATCCCAACTTGAAGGTAATGTTGGGTACATGAATAGATGTGCACAACTGTAATCAGAATCCTCTCGTAGCTGAGCAATAAATCATTAATAGACAGTTACTTAACAAAACAGTAGCAAAGGTTACACAGGCAGTTCCCTCTTACATTGTAAATCAGTACTAATGGATGCTGAGCATTAGCCAAAGCAGCAAACACAACCTGAGGTTATAAAGTGGTGAAATGACTTGATTTGAAAGACCTACCTGACGGGGAATTTTTTCAGAGGTTACAGGGACAGAACAAGGGAGTGTGACTAAATTGATGGCTCTGCCAAAGAGTCAGTTCAGGCACTATGGGCAGAATGGTCTCCCTCTGAACTGTGTCATTCGATGGGTAATTCCCTAGTTTACTGACAGCTTAACAGTTCTGAATAACCAATCTTTTAATATCCTAAGTCAACATGTGTGGCAAACAACACTAAGAGCTTATACAATCTAATCCTCACAAGTGGCATGGCTGAGTCAATCTCTTGATCCACTGGAAGACAGCATTTGATTTTGGAAGCCAGTGAGCTGTCTTTTGATGGCAGCATTATCTGTTCTATTTGAATGTTTGGATCCCACCGAATGTATTTTAAACAAACGGCAATATCTGAGTTGGCTTCCCCTTTCCCTGGCCTTGGATCTTAACAAGCGCTTCTTTCGTTGGCCTGCTACCATTCCAAGATTTCTTAAACCTGGAGACAAGAAAAGAAGTTCAACAGTATTGAGGTGCTGATCACTTAGTACCACCTCTGTCGGGTGAGGCATGTGACAGATGATGTGCCTGGACTTCAGTACTTACAGCAACACCAAGAATGAGAAGAGAAATGCTTCAGTGATATCTCCAAAGTTAGCCAACTCATGACAATCCCTGACTTGACACTGGCCAAGAAAGAGAAGCTTCATTCAGGAAGGCACTAAAAACATCGAGAGACTTTGTTACAAACACACAGAAGTGAAGTTTGCACCAAAACCTACAAACTGTACTCAGTTACTCAACCCTTCAGCACCACCCACTCCACATGTAGTAGTATCTATAGATCAGGTATTGGATGTACCTGTCATCTCAGAACCTACTGAACAAGAATGAAAACAAGGCATACTTGAGCCTGAGGGGCTGTTTTAGAAGAAGAGGAATCTCTCTGATTTACTTCTTGTCCGAACATTCTGTACCAGTAAAGTTATCTTAATGCCTCTGTTTGGTAAATGTTCTTGTAGAATTAGGAGAACTTAGGAGCATGAGGAGATCATTCAGCCCCTTAAGTCTGCTCCACTATTCTGGGTAATGGCTGATTATCTAACCCCACACCACATTCCCACACTATTCCCATATCTCTTGATATCATTAGAATCTATGTGAATTAACAGAAAGACTGTTAAACCAAATACAATGGACACTTCTTGCTAGAAAACGATGCCATACTTCCAGCTTTGGACACTAAAGGAACATAAAGATAGTATCATCGTCATTTGTATGAAAGAAAGCCTCCTGAAGTTGATATTCTTATATTCTCTTGATGAACAGAATGAAGTCATATCCTGGGGGAAGAATAAATGGTGAAGACAAGTAATACTTGTAAATAAATGTTCTGGTCAGAGATAGTGGGAACTGCAGATGCTGGAGAATCTGAGATAACAAGGTGTAGAGCTGGATGAACACAGCAGGCCAAGCAGCATCAGAGGAGCAGGAAGGGTGACATTTCGGGCCTAGACCCTTCTTGAAACGTCAGCCTTCCTGCTTGTCTGATGCTGCTTGGCCTGCTGTGTTCATCCAGCTCTACACTAATGTTCTGGTCATACTGGAGCTGGACAGAAAGGTCGTTACTTCCACAAAGACAGGAAGAGGAAGACAGCTCACTTTCTCTAAAAGATTTCTATGGATTGTCTGTCATGGATAACACCTAAAGGTCTAACACTGATTAATCTAAAGTGTGTTAACCCTCTATTTTGACATACAAAAGGAAAACCTCCTCTATTTTCTCAATCAATCAGGATGCAACTGATGTCAGAAAGTCTTCTACCAATCAATTAGAGAAATATGGAGACCTGGGGGATATATCTCCCCTGGCCCCCATCCCTCAACAAGACAGACTTTGTGCAGTATTGTTACCATGGCCTCTGTGATCCAAATACTGGGACGAAATGGGTCCCAGAGCCCAGGACTGGTTCAGCAGGTTTAAGTAGGTGACCTCCTACTTGGAAGTCTCCAGGCTGGATGCCCATTGAAAAATGGGATGTAGATGCTACCAGTCCAAACTGAAGCTTTGACTCCTTGACTGTTCCATCTGATGGGGGTGGGTCTTGCTGAGCCAGGTCAGCGATTAAGAGGTAGCCTCAACAAAGAAGCACCCTGGGAGAAGGAGGAAAAGGAATTTAAAATAAGAAGGCCCAGCTGGGTGGTCCATTTGGCTGTCGGGGGGGGAGGTTTGGAGATTGGTGGCCTTCCCTGCTTCTGGCCTTCTTCTTTAGGGCAATGAAATCTGCGGCTCTCTGCATAGAAACAACTGGCAGTCTAAGGTGGGTGGTGGAGTACTCTGCTCTAAGCACAATGCCTATGGTCTGCAGTCTTCTCCTCACCTACAGAAGAGTGGGGATAGTCACAAAAATCTGGCTGCAAGCAGGTGAGACCCCAACACAGGGCCTACAGGCAAATGACGTCTCAGACTCCCGAGCCTCAAGACAAGTCCAAAGATCTGCACCCTCCTGGAACAGGACTTCCTTCCCAATGGATCAGGTTGACATGCATTAGTGACATCAAGGAACCTTTAATGGAAGGAGAGAAAGCAGACGGTTGTGTATATCATACACTAGGCCATTCAGCCCCTCAAGCCTGCTTTGCCATTTAGAAGGGTAGGAGAACATTGGTGGAAGTGAATGTGAGTATTGGGTATACAATTGTAAATGTGATGTTCCTGGAAAGAGAGGGAATGAATGAATCTGCAAGATGTGTTGACCTGAGACATGTTGTAGAGTTGGATGCTGGAAAAGTCCCAATGCTGAACTCCTGCATCATCTCAAGTGCACTTTCTCCAGCTTGGAGAGACCACACCTCAGCTTCTGACTTCCTGATCCAGCTCTACTCACACATGCCTGAGGTTGTTCACTACCTGCTGTCCTTGGAGGTTACACAGCAGAATCTACAAGTCAGAGTGGGAGATCCAGAGGGCCACCATTCCCGGATCTTCTCTCTATTCTCGTGGTTGCTGCAGCCTCCAAAGCCCATGTGCAGTCTAACACATGTTGGGATCTCTTCATTAGAAATCATACCTTTGACCAATTTGGTACATGAACCCATGCACCTTTCCTGATTGGAAAAGGAATCTGAAACGTCAGGACTCAAAAAAAGAGGCTCAACTAAGCTTTTTCATTATTCAGTTTCCTGACCTGTCACTGGTGCTGTTCTCTCACTAGAGGCTAATTTCTGAAAATTCCATTGATTAACTCTAATTGTCTCCCTGTAGATGCTGATATGTCTGTTTGGTTTTTATCTCAAATCTCCTATCAATGTCATGTAACTAACAGCACTGCCAAAATGAACCTAGTGCCTTTAAAAACCAGAACTCCTATAAACTCTAATTCGTACTAGGATTATCAACAACATTGTGTTTCATAAATCAGACCCACCAGTAAAGAACAAATAATTGGCTTTTCCAAAACAGCCATTCTCCAGAATTAGAGTTGACACATCATGGGTAAAAGTTATCCAGTGGGAGCTTGTTCAAGTGAAAATCATAACTGTTTCCTTTTACGTTTCTTTTACGAGCACATTAAAAATGATAAGTGTAAGAAATCTTCTATTTGCAGGACCCCATAATGTTCAAAGGAAAACTTTGAAGAAAAGAAAATCATGTTCAGTTGCCCAGTAGTGTCCAGGGATGTGCATT